CTGTATAATATTTTAACCCTTATGAGACAATTTATGCTCACCTGCACTGACTGTATATTTTAACCCTTATGAGACATTTTATGCCCACCTGTACAGACTGTAAATTTTAACCCTTATGAGACATGTTATGCTCATGTGCAGACTGTATATATTAACCCTTATGAGACATTTTATGCCCACCTGCACTGACTGTATAATATTTTAACCCTTATGAGACAATTTATGCTCACCTGACTGACTGTATAATATTTTAACCCTTATGAGACAATTTATGCTCACCTGACAGACTGTATAATATTTTAACCCTTATGAGACATTTTATGCCCACCTGCACAGACCGTTTAATATTTTAACCCTTATGAGACATTTTATGCCCACCTGCTCAAAATATTGCACTGATGGATGATTACATGTACATGTACATGGATCAGGTTGTTAACACATCAGCCTACCACAAATATTCAAGCCATACTAATATCCTATGCTGTCAACACCAAGTACTTTTTTCTGAAAAACATACATGTACCATGCCTTCATTCAGTGGCCTTAGATCAAATTAAATGTACATGTAATATGGTCAAAAGGTAGGACACTGAGTTAGACAGGTTACTGGTTTTTCTCACAAACCCTCAGGTGAGTACGGTACTCACTATTAACTATTTTTATGAAAGGCAAACCTGATATACGGAAGTAAATTCAAGCAGTAGAATTTCCTCAGAGAAGAGTTTAAAACAGGAAAGCATCGCTATAATGAACAACGCTACCCAAAACATTGGGGTATATCGGATATCCCCCATGGCTTCCAAAATTTCTGCTCGCCGTTACTGAACATTGCAAATTTGCTTTAGATAGAAGAAACAGATTTCAGTGTGATGTTAGCGACTCCAAAGTTGAGGAAAAATCGTACTTGCGATGGAACAACAGCCAACACATGGCGTGGTGTATATTGTTTATGAGTACACTGCATACATGTACGCCACAGGTGATCATGTGGACAGGCTGCTGAGCATGTGTATGCAATAGTGCCAATACTAGTGTGGAAAACTTTGCATGATAATCACCACAACGCCAAAGGATTTGCCCACAAAAAAATCACCAGAAATCTAGAAATTAAATATGCAGATAGACAACTCACAGAAATCTTTGATAAATATCTTGATAATACATGTATCAATACATATCAATCAATGGACTATTATTTTCAAAAATGCTTGCCTAACATTTTTGGGCCGACTTGAGATACATATGTGTATGTGCCTCCACTGCTACTGTCTTAGAGTGGTTCCTGTCCTGCCCGATTTATTAGAGTGCCATTTTATCCAAATCCACAAGCACAACTGTACTCCATGTCGCATGCTTTGTTTAAATGATGACCCAAGGAAAACTTGATTTCTTCTGTAATTCTACCGTACATGTACATCCAGCGAGCAGTACATGAAAGGTGAAATGAGATAAACATGCATTTAACAAAATGCAGGAATTTAATTGTTTGTCATCTTTAACTTTGTATTTTGCGTGTAAGTGTTGGCCCAAAGNTCACGTCATCAGAGAAATCTCCATCAAGGCCATACCCAAATGTGCTGTTGCCTGCACCAAGATGCCCACATGCCACTCCTTCAATGTCAAAACTACTGACCAAGGAGACAAAGTATGCCAACTGAATGATGCTACTCGTCTGGATGACCCAGCCAGTTTCCAACTGACAGGCACCAAATGTTTGTACTACTCCAGCAATGAATAGCCTTGCACATGTATACATGTACATACTGTAACACTAAAAGCACTTGGACTGCTTTTATAATTTGAATCATGCTAGCATCAGACTGTATATTATTTTACCCCTTAAGCTCTAGCATTTATGCCCACCTGCACAGACTGTATAATAGTTTGACCCTTATCAGACATTTTATGGCCACCTGCACGGACTGTATATTTTCACCTTTATGAGACATGCTATGCTAATGTGCAGATTGTATAATATTTTAACCCTTATGAGACATTTTATGCCCACCTGCACACATTGTATATTTTAACCCTTATGAGACATTTTATGCCCACCTGCACACATTGTATATTTTAACCCTTATGAGACATTTTGTGTTCAAGTGCACAGACTGTATAATATTTTAACCATTATGAGACATTTTATGCCCACCTGCACAGACTGTAAATTTTAACCCTTATGAGACATTTTATGTTCAAGTGCACAGATTGTATAATATTTTAACCGTTATGCGACATTTTATGCCCACCTGCTCAAAATAATGCACTGATGGATGATTACATGTACATGGATCAGGTTGTTAACACATCAGCCTACCACAAATATTCAAGCCATACTAACTACCCTATGTTGTCAACCCCAAGTGCTTTTTTCTGAAAAACATACATGTACATGTACCATGCCTTTATTCAGTGGCCTTAGATCAATGTTCGTTACAAGAATATTTATGAAAAGGAAACAAACTCCAACAGTAAAATTTTCTCTGAGAAGATTTTAAATATAAATGAGGATTATGCATACCTTGCAACACTCCCCCCCCCCAAAAAAAATACATGGTAACTGAATAAATGCAGATGGAAGAACAATTTTACTTCTCAATCCTGGAGTGACAGTTTGAATTTTACATGGAAACTGCTTCACCAACAGGTTTTATATGCTCGGGTAAATCGGTCTATTTCACGAAACTTCACGCAATGGTTTAACTTCACTTATGTCACATAATTTGACTGTGTAAGTTGAGCAACAAATTATGGCACATTACCTGAGAGTTGAACATTGCGTACATGTAGGTCTGCAACTTGTGTAACAAATTATGGCATAACTGACCGGTACACAATCACTGTGGGGTGGAGTATGAGATTTGCAGCCCAGTTCCAACAAAGAAGATGAAAACTTTTTCAAAATGGTGGGCAGAGCTCATTTGACAACTGTTTAATAATTGCTGTAATATTACACAGAGACTGCAAAAAAGGTGGTCTTCCTCGTCCAATATAATTTTTTAAAACTTTAAAAATTGGTTAAATTTTGTGAACTGAACCGTATTATATTGGTCAGCCACACCACAAACGCTACATGAAATCGGTTACTGAAGCCATGTTCAACTTGGAAGAAGTTGCCAGGTAATCATTTGAATGGTTAATCCATCAGGCCAACTACTGCCAGCAATGTGCATGTCATAAACATATTCAATAACCACACGAAGCAATGATGCTACCAACAACATTCTGATCTGCTGTCAACATGCATTGCATCTCTTCAATTCACATAACAGTCCGTTAATGGTTACCTCTCCTCCACACGTGCTTGTCTCTACATCGCAAGGTTTTCCCGTATCTATGCAGATTGTTCCATTGACATGAGGGGTTGTATCACCGTGATTGCTATTTGGGAAGGCAGCTACAAAGGAGCCCTGGGATGGAAATTCAGGAAATATCAAAGAAGACAACTGTCTTTCCGCACACATAAAAATCAGAAATGTTTTCACTATCCCAAAATTGAAAGATTATTACAACAAATGCATGGTTGGATTTAAGTCAACATCAACCAAAGTGAGTCACGCTTTTTCAAAGTGGCAATGCAAACTGATTAAAGATAAACACAAGAGTCAACGAGCTGTTCTATGTCTGTTTGCGACTCAACACAGGGCTTTTCCACATTTCGAAGATAATTAGAAAAAATGCACTTGCCACACACGTACATGCATGTACTGCAAAACATATTGAGTAACACACGTGTACAAAATCTGTAGGATGAGCACATGTACATGTAGGATGGTTTCATCATGGCATCAATACAGTGAAAACACACTTTATGAATCTCAACTTCATATCTGTACAAAGTCTGAAGTGGATTGGATATGAGATCTTTTCCTCGGTCACATTTTATTGTAATATGAACTTGTTTTTAGTCGAGAGACCAGTCAAGAGGAGACATACACAAAGCAAATAGGTTTGGTGAAGAACAAGGAGAAGAAAACCGATCTTGACAAAAAGAAAGACTCTTCCAAACTTTGGAAAGCTAATAATGATACATTACCTGGCCCATCTTTGAACCTGGGTTCATGTCCTTCTCAAAGAGGTAGGAAGCATAACCTTTGTTGTCACTGCTGATAAGCTTGTTGGTGTTTTCCATGCTCACTGGATGAACAGGAAACCAGCT